CACGCAGCTACTTCTGCTGCCTCCCAAACCTGTTTGGTAGAGGAGAAAAAGCAAAAAAGAAGATTCAAACAAGTTTTTGCTCCAAATACAATTATCATTCAGAAGGCATGTTAAATGCCTATTTCTAAAAGTTTTTACTTACTAAAGACACCTACTGGTAATTTTGGAGTTCGTAACATTTTTTGAAGCATATACTGCTTACTCCATTAACAGAGCCTTGTTTGGGCCTTTTAAACATGCAAAAAAAAAAGGACTCTGGTAATGACACAATATCCTCCAGACCCAATGAAAGGAAGTATTTCTCCCAAGTTACATTTGTAATTACTGTGTTATTTTGTGCAGCTCTACTTTGAGCAGAACAGAGTAGAAATATACTCTACAACTGAAAAATGTGCGCGTGCAAGAATACTGCATTATAGACATCTTGGCGGCATTTTGCACGCTATTATGCACGAGCAAGGAAAGGCACGATACCAGGCTCAGAGACAATTTATTACTTTCACTATTATCTGGCAACAGTCTTGGTCTCTCTCCTGTGCACTTTGGTTGATGTACACAGAAGCTGCTCTGCAGAGAGACAAAACTGAAATTTAGCTTTGGAAAGCAGCTTTCTCTTGTTATGGTAACACGTCCGTAAGAGGACTAAACATGCTCTTCACTCTCTTTCTTGAGGCATGTTTTAAGAAAGCTGGGAGGAGGGGAAAAAAAAAAAGAGAGAGAGAGATGGAAAGTCTTATGAAAATTCAGATATCAAGTAAAGTTCAAGACTTTCCTTCATTTATCAGCTAGTCTGTTCACTACAGCATAAATTTTGTAAAATTTTCACCATCTTGGAGCAAGAGAGACTCCACATCGGGCCTGTTAGCTATGGATACAAGCATACTATTTATAATAGCACCCCACAAGCAAAACAGCCTGTACTTGAGTGTTGTCCGATATATTATTTAGAGCCTTTCAAGAAAATAAATACACTTTTTCAGTCTACAGAGCATTTGGACTACTAGCCATTTAGTGCATCGTATATAATGGTTTTCTGGAAGCCCAGGGAAATCCATATTGCAACAGCACGGGAAGACTCAGCGTCCTGCGTAGCCTCACGCGGTAGACGGGGCTCGAAGATGCTCACTGAGGCAAAAGCAGGTGGGTCAAGACTTGGGCCTCTTCCACGGGGCAACTCTCAGCATGTATCCCCCTCCACTGGAAGAGCTTCCCCACAACGTACCAACGCAGCGTGGCGGGGGGATTGTCACAGGATGCAAATTACAAAGTTATCGCTTGTCTGAAAGTGCACTTGGCACATGCTCAATGCTCTTTTGAGGTCAGCATCCCGCCGTCGACATGCTGCCGTTTCGGTAGGACAGAACCCAGCATCGGCCCAAGCCATCGCTAACCACACGGTTAAAAAGCGCTCACATGCTGTTGTGAGCAGTAGCAACTCTACTGGCCGAACACGCGAGGCTAAGCCAACTAAGCCAAACTGGAAGCTGTTGAGTACTTATATGCCTTGAAAAACATTCTCAACCCCGTTCTGAAAATGGTAAGGTTAGTTTAAAATGATGAGGTAAATTATTCTGCCAACTTAATACAAATAATCATGTTTATTAGTTGTTTACACAGCTCAAATATGCAGCCATCAAATCATGTTTTAGAGATATACATACAGGTAATAATGGGATTTTTTTTTTTTTGTTTAAAGGATTCAACAGTACAAGGACCTCAGAAGCAAGTCTTCAACAGTACCAGTATTTATAGTATATCTTTATTTATGTGCAAAGAATTCAGACAAATTTCATTATTCCACGATCTGTATCTTCCTTTGCATGACCCCAATAGTTTGCCTACATACACACACACACACGCATGTACGTACATCTGGAAAAAAAAACCCTTCCAAATGTCAAGAATCATGGACAAAAAAAATCAAGACAGAACAAAAAGAGTTAATAACAGTTATTAATTCTCACAATGTTAACTACTCTGCGTTGCATCTAATTCAACATCATATTGAGGAACTCTGTGTTACATACAGACATGACTTGCAATTTTTAAAAAGTTGTAATAGGATGTAAAAAGTACTATATTATGTTTTAATTTAAAAAAACAGGACAATTAAAGAGATTGTAGCATTCTTGAATTTTCATATGGTCAACGGGGAAAAAAAGGCCAAAAGTAACACAGTATATTCATTATAAAAGTCTATTTACAGTTTCATATAATAGGCATTAATGACTAACCCAAGGGTCACTTCATCAAGTTCACTGCACACAAAATATTCAGTTGTTGGATGCAGAAGTAAAGTGGTTGGAGTTTAGCAGTGGCAAACAATTTATTGTGCGCAGACTGAAAGAATAAAGGTATTTAGCTCTAAAAACATACTGGAATAAAAACCTTCAGAAATATTTTTGTGAATATATATATATATATATACAAAGATTTTTTTTTTTCTCCTATAATCACTGTATGTGTGATTGGATTCAAAAGAAAAACAAGAGCAGTTTTCCTAAAAAGTCATAGCAAAGTCAAGAAAAAGCTGAGCTACGAGAAAAAGACAGAGCGAGAAGCAAGCGCCCGCAGGCGGCCCAGGAGTGGGGCCGCTCCGGCCCCCGGGCTGCGAGGGAGCGCGCGGCCGCCGCCGGAGCTGAAGCCTGCCCAACCACAAACAGCAGCGTTTCGTGGGAAGGACACGGACTTCAGCTAGAAACAGTCAGCTAAAGTAGGAGGGAGAAGGATGCACAGCACAGAAAACATTTTGCCATCTATTACACCACCATAATAAAAGACACTTTGATGCACTTACTGTATTTCCTCAGAACTCGGTTAACAATAACATCTGCCTACACGTTACATTAGCAGAAAGCTTATGCTACAACAGGATTACTGTACACACGTTGTGCGTGCAGTTAGAAATAAAACAAAGTCCAGAACGCATGCGTACAGACGAGACTGTATTCAGGCGGCAGAGCTGCCCAGCAACATACCTCAAGTGCAGTCACACGCTAATATTTTTTGAGATAGCTTCACTTTCATCTCTTTTCCTTTATGGGAAGTTACCTGTAACCCCTCAGCTCTCACAAGGCTGCAAATACTAGCCTGGGATACGTGAGCTTGTATGCGTGGTAGGTACACCACGAAACTTAGTAGTTCCTATAAAAAAAGAGCATTTCACCCATCAGATTTATTGTCCTTTCTGTTCAAAACCAGCAGACACATACTTACTTCTGATGAAACGTGCACCACGTTGCAAAGAATCTCCCGCAACACCCTGTCATCATACAGGTGCGCATTAGCTCGTATTCGTTCACCCTAGGATCCTGAATGCATCCTTTTAGGGAAACATTGCTTCTAATCTCAATTGTCAGACAGCCCCAATCAGACAATTATCCAGACAACCCCGTACACTAGGTCAGAAATCTTACGTTTGCTCTGAGAGTTTCGCCACAAAACAGATGAGGATTTTTAATGCAAACAGTACAATTTTAACAAGTGCTTTCACCTTAAAATAACAGAGATACGTTCATTTTTCAGGAATGAGCAATCCTGAAGTTTCATATAAACGCGTACATATGATGGCACACAGCTCCCCGCCTTCTTCCTGACAAATCTAGGTCAAACTGATGTTTTGTTTCACCTCTTCAAACAAGAATTAAAAGAACTAGACTAAATGAACTTTTAAGTTCATCTCTTTAAAGAGAACTTTTACTAAAAGAAAAAGCAGATTTAAGAAGCCAGGAAAGGCAGAAAGAGATAAGGAGGAAACAGTTCAAGGTTTCAGAGAAAAAGTTTCTTAATAGAATCATAATTGAACTTTATTATAATCAATAGCTTTATAAAGTTTTAGCTACAGTAATAAACATACTTAAATTTAAGACACAGAAGTGTTCAAGCCAGGACAAGCCAGCCTTCGCAAGTCTTTGTATTAACTTTAAGCAATAGTTTTGGAAGTTCTGGAATGAAATTTTATTGCAGTATCAGTGTTAGCCACATTTTATCTATTTCTTTCAAAAAAGATGACAAGCTTTCTAGAAAGAGAAGTACAAAATACAAGTGAGCAAAATAAATATGACCCTCGTTATATGTTTAAAACATACACATAAGGACATGACTTTGCATTTGTAAAAGAACAGCCAGATAATATACGATAATGCAACTAATCACTAGTTTACTAATCTTGAGAACTTTATTTTATACTCAAAACATTACAGGCTTAGTGTTGGAGATTAGCATTATAATCCAGTATTTGGTAAAGCCTAAGGACAGGGTTCCCCTCCGGCACCTGCTTGCCTCTGCACTCGGAGAACCAGAATTGCAAACTTTGCATCAAAGCAGTGAGCACACGTTATATATGGAATTGTGATTAAAGGAGTAATAGTTTTGAAAAGAATGTAGTAAGAACAGTTGAAGATATGCCGAAAGCATTCAAAATATAAGCATTATCCAGACAGACAGTTTAAATAGGCTCAGTTACTATTCCTCTAGTATATACTACCAATCTTGAACTTATCAGCCATAAAAGGGCTCCTGCTTTTGAGTTTCGGGTTCTCTGTTTTTTATCGTTTGAATCCCTTTGCAGGAGAATAAGCCTTTCCTTGGCCTCTTCTACTCTCCGCTCCACAGCGTTTGATACAAGAAGTATTTAGATGAAAGTAACACTGAGCTGATATTTTACAAAGAATGATTTATAACCTTCTAGGTAAAGCAGCATTTCTAAGTTAATTCAGTATCAGCTAAGTCCTCTAAATTTACAAATAGGAAAAGCTTAAAAAAACCCTCCCAGCTTGTGTGCCTACTCGCAAGAAAACTGGCCTAAAGGCTCAGGGTGGTATATGCTTATGTTCCTGTTATGAATAAAGGCTAGTATATGATGTGAAGAAAGTTTTCCAAAAGTTTCTGTACAATACCATTTATAAAAATTAACCAGTAAAACCCTAATAAGGCAAGAATGCTATTTCTGTTTATGATTCTAAAGAGCATTATAAAAAAGTTACTGTGGCAACCATTTATAATTTCTTACTTGTGTATGTTTAATATATTCACTGCAACAATTATATTCAAGTCACATTTATATTTATAATACATATCACAACTCTATGCAAAGACATTTTTTCTTTCTTAGTGCCGTTCTTTGTAAAATCACATCATTCTTATCCTATAATGCTCAGTGATGCACCATTTAAAAGGCTTAATGTTACATTCATTTTAATTAGCTGGAAAAAAATATATTTTCCAGACATAATTTGTCTGACAGCCTAGCAAAGCTAATGTTTTATTAGCCAATTAGAAAGGAACTACTTACATGAGGATGCGTACAAGGCCAAGTATTCTTGGATTACGGTTTTTAAACACAGTTTCTTGAAAAGAATTCTAGTTAACCAATCTGTTACAAGGATAAATTTAGTATTGTCTTTCACAAAGGAAGCTATCTCTATAACGTCTGATAAGTGGTAAAGTGCTTGGAATGTAGATGGTAAAAAGCCTCAAGAATTGCAAAAAATAAATTTGTCATAAATCATGTTAAATCTGATATGTAGTGAGGGGAAAGAACACTCATTTAAACACAACGAGATGCTTTTATACAAATATATCTATTTTTAAAGAAAACGGAAATTGTAACATACAGAGGAAAAAACTGATTACTGAATTAGTTTTAGGCACTTGGGCTGCATAGACTGTATTAGGTGCCTATCAGATAGATTTAGCATTCACACGTGCATACATACACCTAGGACCATACTACATAATGCATAGGAAAACAGCTATTAAGCCTCCCTGAAAAAAACAAAATAGTGATGATTACTAGATGCCTGTTCACATTTTCAAAGTTCTATATCCTACCTCCCGTCACAATTTAAAAATCTGTGTAATTCCCAGATCACAGAGCAGCACACATTACAGCTGATTTACCAAGCTTATTTGCTAACCTAAAAGAAACATCTTAAAATATTAAGTTATTGAAATATATGATTTACTGCTATAATTTTGCCAGTAAAATGGCATTCTGCAGCATCAACTTAAATAACCCTTTTTAAAAAGCCATTCCTTTTTCCCTATAATATCCTAAGAATGAATTATATGAAGAACAAAGAGCAGTAAGCAATCTTAAGTTTTAGCTGAAGGTCAAGACAACACAACACACACAAAGGGTGAAAACACAAAAGCAGTACAAATAAAGTTCATGAGTCATTGTTAAGACAATGACTTCTAAACAATAACTGAATGCACTGAAAACAGCATCAACACAAAGTTAAATTTCCTTTACTACTACACAGTTGAGCAAAAAAGGGTGACATGTCCTAAGGGGAAAAGAAAAAGCTGTAAACAAGAATGACAAAAAAGGGCTTGTGTGTTCAAAAGTTTCTCTACTCTTCCCCAACTCTACCCAGTGACTAAGTTTAAAAAAAGAAAAAAAAAAAAACACGTAAAAACTAAACTTACACAAAAGGCAAAGTGTGTAGGAAAAGACCATCTCAGCTACAATACTATCACGAGGGTGTATACTCATAAATTCTGCTAATGATCATCTCAGTTTTTGGAGTAGATACACTTGTTTTCATGAAACACTTTCAGGTAGTTTTTTTTTTTACAAAACACTTTCACGGCAACACAAGGATGCAGACATTCTGTTCTTACCCTGCTTCGAGAGAATCGCTGCACTTAATTTTAAGCAAAGTCAAAAAATCAGGCAAGGTGAGAATTTGGATTGTCACCTCTGCTTAGCAAGGGGGAACAGAGAGTCACCCAGTTACCACAGACAAAACCTGTCATTCTTGGAAACGGCAAATAGAGAACCTGATGCTTCAGACAGAACTGGCCACCACCAAATTCTAGCTACTGACACAGCAAATCTTCCCTCTAAGATAACCTCTAAAATACTCTGCGATAACAAAATAAAAAAGAAGCCTCCTCATATGCGATATGACACACACCCACTCTTGCAGCTGGTCAAGGCTCTATTGTGCACTGCTCAACACACAGACATCTGCCTACGTTTTGGACTACAAGCACTTCAGGGCACAAGGGACATTGCTTTAGCAGGCGGTCTTCCACGTACGCTGTTATTCTCATCTCCCCGCTAGGGTCTCTTGGCCCTTGTAAAATAAAAATTAAGTGGACCGTGCAGTATTGCAGAGGCCACAGAAAGTGGAAATAGCCAGAATACTGAGAGGGAAAAGGAGAGCGAGAGTAAACAGTATCGCAACACAGGCTACACCTGGAAAAAAACCAATACATTTTCATTATATAAAACATACACCATGTCCTAAAAATTTAAGCAAGGGAATGAGCAGCAAATTCCAGCAAAATGTAGGTATAAGAATACTGCCCCATGGTTTTTGTTCCATTAAAACTCATTTTCTTAAAAAACACACATACAAAACCTGCACATTCAGGCAAAATACAGAATTTAAAAATACTACAGTGAAGTACGTCAAAGGGATGGAAGGGAAGACATACGACTCAAAGCCCAAACATTTATGTTTATAAGCAAGTCTGATTTAAGACTATAAAAAGTACAATTCGGTTTTATATGCAAGTGTGCACAGAGCTTGTTTCTTGAGGATATTATCAGGTAAAGTGAAAAAAGTCTTTGCATTAATTACTTCTTCAAACATGTATACATTTTGCAATACACCAGTTAAACACCAATAGCTATGTGCATGCACTATAAACATATGCATGTACACATTAAAATGTTTAACAGAGAGCAGATTCCCTACCCAGTTAGCATAATAAGGAGATAGCAAAAACATATTAAAAAGTTGCATTCTTTACCTGCCTTTATTAAATAAAGACTTTTGAAATTGGCTCCCTTTTGCCCCTCCACAAATTCACAACATGATCCCCAGCAAAGCAGTCAAATGGGAAGGCAGGCGTACTGACTACATTACCACCTAACAAAGATGTGCTGTCTGTAGGCACCTTTAAAAGTTCAAACTAAGCTTTTCCTTTAAAATGCCTTTTCCATCCTTATCAAATTCATGAGCTAAGAAAGGGAAGGACATTTTAAACAAAGTTTTATTTCATTTTACGATACTCCTCAAACACATCTCCAACGTAAAAGCCTACAATTAAGGCTATGTATACTTTCACAGCACTGATAACATTTCAAACTATCCAACTTTCATCCTAATGAAAAGCCTGTATCCATTAAAACGATAATTCTCAAGCTTCTTCCGTATGGACATCCATCCCATTAAATAATACAGTGAGAAAAGATAATTACATAGTGTTCTGATACTTCTTTATAACTCACCTGGGGATCATGCAAGGGAGTTATTTTCCAGAAGTACTGCCAGCAACTTCTGTGGGACCACAGCTTTTCAAGTAGTGTAATCTATTGTGTCCCCCTTTCCCCTTCCCAGTTCAATCCACTGCACATATCTATGTGCACATTTTGGAGTATCAGAGAGAAGTGTGCCTCTTCCTCTGAAAAACACTTAATACAGAGTATGACTAGTTTTGCAAGATTCCAGTGGGACTTTTAAAAATACTTTCATGTCTCTTCTTTGGTTAAGGAAAAAGAAAAAAAAAAAAAAAGGCGTTTTCCCCTTTACGAAAGCTAAAGGTACTTTTACTAGACTTAAATCATAAATGAACATGTACTACAAAAAAGAAAAAGCGGTAGCACAGGACAGGATGACATGTACTTTTTGAAATCATCGAATCCAATGGCAACTACAATTAAAAAGTTAGTTTTGTTTTAAACTCTGGCAAATTTTCACTGTTTGCCAATACTGCAGTTTAAAATTCAATCCATAGGTCCCAATCCTTTATGGCATCTTCCCTAATGAAAAAAAAGTCATGGGAGAAACAAGCAATTGTCTTAAAAGAGAGTTTGCTTTATAAAGTTGTGGTGAGTCAGGTGCCGGATGGACATTACAGCTGTACAGATAACAAAAGAAAAGAACTTCTGACGTGTTGGAAATGTCAAATATTAGTACTATTGTCAACATATTGACTCAGTTTTACACACTGGTCTGAACAGATTGCAATTAACCTAAAATTGAGGTATAAATATACACAAATATGTACAGTACACATACAGGAAAATATTTTTGCATCTGTAGCATCAGTAACTTTAAAAATACTGGAAAGTTGATATCTATGCCATTGATTTGCTTGCTAATTTACTGGAATAATGAAGCCAACTTATTCAACAAGAGAGGACTACAATGGAATAATAAAACTCAAAATTAAAAGCTCCTTCCTCTCACTTCATCTTCACCACGCTCAGCATCAGACCGTTGTGAGTGGCTGTATCTTGAAAAGAAGGTTGATCACAGCTTTTACACGCATCCCCAGGAAAAAAAAAAAAAAAAAAACCAGGAAACCGAACTGGAGCCATCGACTGCATCTTTCTTTTTGCTGAATGGTCTTAATTCATATAGGTGTTTGTATCTATGTAGAAAATGAAGTTGAAATCAGTTCCATATAAATACATCTAACTCATTAAATCTGCGACCGTCAAGGTAATCATGGGTACAGCTTTTTCTTTTTCTTTTTTTTAAAGCAATGTCTGTGCAAACAGGTCATTAAAAATCATCTGATCTTAAGTCTCGACATCATCCATTCGAGTCCTTGGCACAGTCTGTCAACAAAAAGAGATGAGTATAATTACAATTTTTAGGAATACATACACTCCTCAGGATAATTTTAAAGATAATTCCATCATACCAACTCACATGAACAACAACCAAACTTTTCCTAAGATCTCTGTAATTCTTACTGAAGGAATCATTTCTAAAACCAAATCATTCCTAACACTGCTAGATCTCATTATGCGATCTATGGTGACAGACTTCAGATGTCAGTATTTCTCATGAAAGTATACTGAAGTTATCTCCAATTATGATCAGGAAATTTCCCTGCCCCCCGATCCCCGGTTAGGTCTGAATTATTTTAAGTTATACCACTGTGAGGTCAGACTGCAGATTTGACGTTGAAAGTTGGTCTTCAATCACTGTGGTCTCCCCTTGAGCTTATTTCAGGGATGTCAGAAAAGAAACCAGAAGTCTGAATTCCCTGTTCACTTGAGCACGCACATGCTTTCTATGCCAATACCAAGAAATCTGATTTCTTTGCAACTGCTGCAGCCACAGGCATTAGTAAGCAAGTGACGTGGTATACTAAAGAGATGTTCTTAAAAACAGTAGCAACAACTACATCCCAAAGTCCATTTGGCACCTTTTTAATTTGTTGCTGAATCAAAGTTACACGTGATCCTAAGTCAATACATTCTGAAAACAAAAATCAAGTGTTACATCGTTAATGACAGGATAGGAATGTGTGTTAAACCACAAATACCACAATAAAGATACCAACAACGTTCAAGATTCTCCGACTCCAACAAGAATAATTCTTACCCCTCTCCAGTTAGAGCACAGCATGCCTGAATGTGCCACTGGTGATCTTTAATTGAAGTTAGTTTCAGAAACTGAGAGATTTCAGCTACTGTCATACACTCTTTAACATCTTGCTTGTTAGCAAAGATCAGCAAACCTGCTTTTTTCAAGTCCTAGTGAGAGAGGAGGAGAAAAAAAAAGATGAAATCTCAAAGGGACAAATAGTCATATTTTCTACTAGCAATCTAACTAGGCTGAAATCCTGACTTGGAAGTGACCGTGAATACTGCAATATCCATGCATAGAGGTGCCATTAACTTTAATACCAAGCTCAAATTCTGGTTTTGGATTCTGGAAGCTTCAAGCCCCAAAGCTACTTTATTAATTTTCAAAATATAACTACTCCCCTCCAACAGCATCTGCTTGACCTACTGCTTCGGACATTTAATCTGGAACGTTTCCCATGTGTAGCTGTGACTCCTTAAGAGATTTTAACAGCATATTCTCAGAAGTTAAGTAAGTGCCCTGTCTGGTGGGGAAGGACAAAAGAGGGAAAGACTAAGCCCAAGTTAGTCACTGCTACAGTGGCATGAGGTAACTGAATTAAAGGGACAAGCAGGAGGGCTTATAGACCCTAACTCACCTAAGGCATAGTCATTAAGCTTCTAGAACTGGAGGAATCAAAAGCCATTCATCCATCTCTGATAAGGTGTCAATGCAAGGCGATGATCATGCAAAAGATTAACAGCTTATATATAGCAGCAGGAGCCAAGAAGGAGCTTCCCTAGACCTGGCCCACCTATTCTCTCCAATCAAGGTTGCTGCCTTTTTCACACTTCAGAAGATAAGAGGTGTAACACTGAATAACGACTGCAGATGGTCTCAAGAACCAAGGTCCATTACCGCCAGATGACTGTGAATCAGCCCTCGGAGACAAAGAACGTGACAATAGACTAGTGAATCTTAAGCGCTAGCCAAAAAACAAGAAAAGTAACAAACAACACACCACCTGCAAGAGGAGTTTAACCTCAGAAAATCTTTTGATCCAGCTGACCAAAATGCCCACTACCTACATTATTTTGTTACCTCCATGAGGAACAGAGGCACCTGATAACTCTGTAATGAGCACAGTACTGCGCAATTATAGTAACTCATATATCTGTTTACCAGTCAAGGCCTTCCATTTAACCCCTGCCTAGCAGGTCACTCCTACCTTTGTATCCAAACCAAACAAACTATGGCATTTTGCTGTCTGGCTTTTATCAAGAATATCACATTGTAAGACATAAAACACTTTTAAGACAGTTCTTATCTGGGGGAAGAGTGGGATCCATTGCCGCCAGAACGCTTTAAACACTGGTAAAACCTTGCCAAGCCTTACTGGCATGCCTGCTAGCATCAAGCCTGGCACCACAGCACACCAGAAACCAGTCGTATTCTCAGCCTATGCAGCAGCCTTCTGTGAGGCAGACTCGCACCAGTTAAGTAGCATTAAGGCTTCCACTGGCAGAGTGTAAAGCAAGCCACAACAACATCTTATGTAGAGGATGCAACGAATTTTTAGAAAAATCATCACTTAACAGTACTTTAGAATCAAAACATGGGAGGTTTACCTGAACAATCACATTACAAATAAAGAAATGTCCCTGTAAGGACAATGCAATATTTAAAACATCAGTACTAACAGAATTTAGAGAACAGCAATTCTAGGGGCAATTTTATTTTTATCTCAAACTGCTTAGAACTCCACTAGTACAGATACATATTACTGAAAACGAGTCCCTCTTAAAGAAAAAAAAAAGTCCTCCTCTTCACTTAAATGCCTATACAGGAGTACTAATTTTTAGCAACAGTAAAATTAATTCCCAAATGGTCCACTGGTCCAGAAAATAGTTGGAACTGATCTGGGCAACTCAATCTGGCCTTAACAAAAATGCAATTCAACTCGTTAGCAGAAATAAAAGATTTTCAAAGATTTCATGGAAAAGCTCTTCTAAATACATAATTGACTTTCACTTCATTTTATATGTATTGTAGTTCTTTTCAAATGTCATAGCATTTGTTAAGTTAGCAGAACATACAGAAAACGTCCTGATTGAAGAGAATGAGCTCACTTACTTTTAGATGGATGCTTTTTGAGCACGGAAATAATCTCCCAACACAAAGCAAGGACAATCATACTGCTTGGGGTTACAAACTTCCCTCATTTCAAAGTAAGTTCATTAATACCGTCTGCATCTTCATTTTTACATTATGAAAAAGAACATGCAGATTTTGTTTAACAATTGCAACAGACTAACTTAGTACAGCTCAGAAATTCAAAGTATGACAGCAACAGACCCTAAGACAGCAGTCCCCCAATGCCACATTTAATACTCCATCTCAACCAAGAAAGTCAGACCTTCTAGGTCTGGGGCTTTTCCTCACCTATGTTTTCACAACTGGTTTTACACCAGCTCCGCTGCTCAGGTGGCTAAACAGCCAATCACATCAGTGACTCAAGCATAGCCACACAGGAGTAGTACTAACACAAGGAAGGGCATCATTAAACAAAGAAAAAACAAAAAACAGGCCATCCAGTAGGACCTTTCAGTAGCCCAGATAACGCAAGTCCCTGCAAGTTAATCACAAGAATACACCACAAGTAAGACAGGCTTGCCTATCCTCCTCTTCCACTTCCTCAGCTTTCCTGAGAGCAGGCTATCTTAAATTGCATTTACTTTATTGAAATTTATCCACGCATGAGCATTACACGAGAACACAAAGTAAAACAGCTACAGACTACCAAATTACGTCCAAGTTTTAATAAGGAGATAAACACCAAAGGAAATACGTACACAGTTTTTGCCCTTCCCACAGCCATCTACTAGAGAGTGGCTACAGTTTAAATACAGATGTAATATTTTAGCATATAACACCATGTATTTTATGCACATCTGTGTATTCTGACACAGGTTTGGAAGCTTAATACCCTTGGTGTCATCTCGTAAAAATGGATCCAGTTTGCATTAAACTTATCTTTGTCTTACAAGTCCCAGCAGTAGTCAAGCTCATATAAAAATGTCTCTTGTAAAAATCAAGGCTCTGGTCCTGCGGCACTTCATGAGTAGGTTACTAACATCACAGTAAACTCCACTGAAGTATTTGGGTTTTTCCAAGGTCATGCAATAGCTGCTCCTTGGTTTCTACACTGAAGAACTCTAGTGCAGTATTTATGAATCAGAAACAGAGCTAGCTCAGTCTTACACCTGACATAGGACTCAAATTTAAAGAGAGTCTTTACAAGCTTGCAGGTCATACTCTCATTCTGCAATTCCAAGTAGAATGAAGACTACTGCTCCTGTAACTTTGTCCCATAGTTTTAAGAGTTTCTCTCATGCAGTTTTCTTTTGTACAATTATCCCATTTATTGCTTGGCTATTACTGCACAGGTTTCTTCAGCTTTCCAAAAAAAATCTGCTCAGTTTCACTTCTGCTGCCGCCAGTAAATAGCTACGCACACAAAGAAAGGGCAAAGTGGATTTTTAAACACATTTGGCGTCACCTTTCCAAAATACCAACTGTTGTCAGTTGCTCTCTGTCTTCAGCAAAACAGGCTTTTGGATTTTTTCGGGGTTCAAAACAACATATCGGGAAACTTCACACCACTTTTTTCTAGCATATCTGCTATATTCTCTGCCACCCTGCACTAGGGTTTGAACAATTCACTCATAGCATGAGAACTTTTGTTCTGCAGAAAGAGGACAACCTAAGCTTTCAGCCATATCATCAAGCTCAAAGGTGTAGCCCAGTAACCTGTCTTTAACAGCTGGAGGACTTCCTAAGAGCTTTTGGGTCAAGAAAAGAGGGAGTAAGCCTCTGCTGCACAATTTCCCACTGTATGCACGTGGCTGAACTCCTTCACCGTGCCTCCGTTCCCTTGTCCCCTCATGTAACTGGGCAGCATCCACCAGCTTCTTGGATGCTTGCAGGGAAGAGAAGGTGCTACTGGGAGGCTCTGCTTCAGTATCCTACTTCTTTATTTTTCACCCCTAGATCTCCAGCTCCCCTCCTGCACCCTTCCTCATTTTGTTTCCTCATCTTTGTTTGTCTCATTTTGTTTCCTCTCAAACTCATTTTGCTTTCCCAAGGTCTCTATTCACTCTTTTCCCATTCCTCTTTTATCTCACCTATTCCTTAGAAGACTCGCACCTGTTCCTGACAGAGGGGAAAAAAATAGCAACAACAGTGGGCAACAGAGGGTATGTTAACGTAAGTTCACCTACGGGGCAAGCATACACTGATGCACCCCCCAGAACATTCTCCCAGTTGCAAGAACGTTAACCTTCTAAATGCCAAAAAGGCCACAGAGGCAGTTTTTCAGTTTTATAGCTGGTTGCTATAACACATGTTAATAAGCCCGTATCTGTTTCATTCTGACTACAGAAAACATTCAGCCACCGTGAAGCTATCAAAAACGGTACTTTAGCTTTTAGAGAAATCAATGTTTTTTTAAAGTATCTCATTCAGATCATAACATGGGCTGAAGTAGCAAAGACACAAGGCATTTCTAGGTCCTAACTCCTACTTCTCTGAAGCACTCAGAAGGTGAAAAGCTACTTTTGTAGGAGCTTACTTCAGTAATTCCATATTAATTTACAACGTTATTGGGAGTTGGGAGTAAGCTGTATAAAAGACAGAGCCTCTAGCAGGAACAGGACAGCTCTGATACTACCTGCAGCTGGCAATACAACCGTTAACGTTTGCCTCGGACTTCACTGGAGAGGCTTCCTCCCATTCTGGTCTGTCTTTACCTCCAGCTAGCAGGCTTAAGTCTAAACGTTTACAAATAACGTGAGAATCTGTTTCCCTTAGTATGTATTTACAGCTAAATCTTATTCACAATAAATTTAAAAACATCGAAAACATTGGGTCTACTCACCTCATGTGCTAACATTTTATATAGTTCTTCTTTAGTTACAGAAATTCTCTCTCTGTCTGTGCTGTCCACAACAACTATCACAAACTTTAAAAAGTTAGAAGTCATTAGTCAGTATTTCAGAGAACTGTATATTTCTGATCACACATTCTTAACACAGAACAAAACACTATCCCCATGAGATTATCCAGATAGTCAACTCAATTATCAGATACCAGTTTATTCCAGATATACTCCCAGCCACAGACTGAGGTTATCCCCAGCATTGGTGAGGTTTACAACTTACGTTGTTGTTTGTATACATTGCATCTCTGACACATCACCTTTTCTGAATTTCTGTTTTCCATTTTCAAGTGAAAAAGTTTTATTGAAAGAAAGTGTTCTTATGCCATCCTAGATCTGGTTTTGCTCTTTGCTTACTATAGTTGAGGTGGCACACAGATCCCTCAAATAATTTGTTGCAGCCTTAAAAAGGAAAAGGATATCAGCTTTCTCCCTCCACTTAAAATACTAAACATGTATGTAAGACCTCGCAATGGATTTAAAAAGCATACTCCATATGCTCCATACTTCAAGGGCATACATGCAGATATAATCATAGTATCTCATAGGGAAGCACAGGAAAACAAGGTTTATTGTTATAACAATTAACTTTTTTTTTAAAACCACAGTTGATATCAGCTAAGAAACTTTGACTTAAATTATTATGTTAACCTGGTTAACCTATGTTAACCAAGTCCTGTATTTGTGCTACAATTTTCTTGTTAACAACAGTTCTCAAAACTCTTGGGGAGTGCTTACGTAAATCGATCATGGGATCTTGCAAGGCAGAGCTCCCACAATTTTGAATAAGAACTTCCGGGGCTTTCAGTCTGTCTTGTTATGGATGATATAGGTTTTCAGAGCGTTTCCTGCAGAGATACAGCACTCGTGTTCCAGAAGCAGAGCCACCTGTTTACAGGTTCCCTCAACACCAAGACAGACTGAGCATCTGCCAGAGGCAGCAGATCCCACGACACAGGATCCTTACAAGCAAGGTGTTTTTAACTGCAACCCATATCGTGTATTTCTTAGGTAAGACACATAATCACGTTGCAAAACAGCTTGCTAAGGAGAAGACCTGGAAACCAAAATACAAGTATCTTGAATATCTGACAAAGATACAATACCAGTGAAAGCATAGTTAACACAATTTTCTGGAACTATTTGGTACGAATCTCAGGTACGTTATACTTCCTTCATCACCAAAATTAAAATACATCTTGCAAGAAGGCATTCATCCTTACCTCAGTGTTTGTATAGTAGGTATTCCATGAAGATCGAAGGGACTCCTGCCCTCCAATATCCCACATTAGGAAACGTGTGTTATTAACCACTATCTCTTCAACATTACTCCCTATTGTAGGTGAGGTATGTACCACTTCATTCATAGAACTGCAAAAGGAAGAGATCAACTCAGTTAGAAACTGCCTATGCAAAACCAACTAAAAAATTGGTTATCAGCATTACCAACTATGTTAGAACTCCAAATTGACCTCTTTCTTTAAAAACTCAGGTTGACAACTATTCTGCGGTAGAAAGCTCATCTGGGGAACTCTAGCAAACACACCTTATGCAGCAAATATAGACAAGGGCTGTATGGGGGGTGTGTGGGGAGAGAACAGTAAGAAAGAAGTCGGTGAACAACGCTGTACTTTAAATAATTAAGTTATACACCTGAAAAAGCATTTTTGAACAAAACTGTATTACAATTAATTAAATTAAAAGTTGAGAGAGCATGTGCTTCAGAAGCTGTTTAAGTTGTCATTTTTCTTTTTCCAAGCTGATTTTTGGCATGCAATGTAGTGTGGGAGAGAGCACTTGTTTTTCCTTTAAGGATGCAGTTAAGCCACAAGGCTTTCAAGGCTGCAGAAAACCAACTCATCAACCAAATCCTCCAAACATACTATATAGTACACTAGTAGTGTACTTTCTTCACAGCTGAGAAACACTTCAGTTACATTATTTCCAAACTTTCTTCTCTCTTCCCTTCTATACAAGTCCAATTACTCTGCTTTTCAGAGATGAATGCAGACAATACATTGTTTTAAAGATGCTTGGTGCAACTTTGTCATCGAGACCACCAGTTTCACATCAACAGTTACAACCAAATGGGTGTTCAGGATACTCCCGAAGGTAAAGTTATTTAAACTCTACTTTATTGGACATACAAAAAATTAAAAGCAGCTTCAAGGAAAAAAGCCAACCATTTTCAAAAAACTTGATTATTTTTTCTTTTAATAATCTTGATATGTTCATCACTTTATACGAAAAAGTTTCTGAACTTTTAGCAGAGCTTTTGGTTACAGTGACAGTAATTTGAGATTCGGAATAGTACTAGAATACTACTTGAAGAGGATATAAAGAACTGAAGAGATATAAGGATAGTCTACTATTCTGAAAAAGAATCCTAGTTACCCAGTGTCTCAGCATATAACAAGATACTTCCTTAAAATGTGACTGGTGAGCAAGTTAAGATAAGGGAAAG